ATGAAGCACAGTACAGCTTGTGCTATAGCTGGGAATTCCTTTCAGCTAACTGAAGATGTTTTCTGAAGGTGTTTGGTTTCTTTGTGTTCTGAATAACTGATCAGGTTTCATCGACTTCCTTCTGTGCACTCAGGCTCCAGGTTACAGTCACATATTGGCTGTCATAGTTTCACATTGTGTTTCTTTGGTAGTTCCAGCTTAAAAGAGTTCCTGTGGTGCTTAGGCCAGATTTGGCAGAGAGTATCGTGGGTTGTGCTGGCATCTGTGGATGTGCCTTAGAAACAGGATTATTTCATTTTATAAACTCTGGTGTCAGTGGAGATGAGGGCACAGCCTGCTGCAATTTGTGAGCTTGCAGGAGTGGTCAGAAGCTGCAGCTGCCACAACTGCCAAAAATCTTATATGGAACTCCTGCCTAGCTTGTTTAAATACTTTTTAGAGTCCATCCTTTTTCATTCTATCTTTAAATAATTAGAATTGTGCAAATCATCTTAGATTGGAAACTTTTTGTTCTTTCTGTCTGTCCTCTTGCAGTCTCAGATTAATCACATCCTTCACTCCCTCTGCCTTGCTTATGCATGAAGTACAATGTTTTCTGCTTTTTCATTTGTACTTTTCTTGTACACCATTCTTGTTCTCAGACAGAAACTGTTCTCACTTGGACATGTTCTCATTTGGACACGTTTGAGCTGCTCTGTCAGTCCTCCCCTGGTGACCTGTTTTCAGTGCTCTCCTTGTCATGTTTACACTTGCCATTTCCTGTCTGCCTTAAAAAAAAAGGGTAATCTAGTAATTTATTAAAAAGAATAAAAGACTCAGACCCCATTCATTGTCCTTTGTCTCTTATGATTATACATTTAACTGGTATTTCAATCCATTCTAATTTTTACTTTTTTAAGAGTAGAAAAAGGAATGGAATTTTTTAGAGCATCAGTACTTTAATTCCTTTAATCCTTTGTTGGTTTTCCCTCCATCTGACAAATCATAACAGGATAAAGGCTTTTAGATATATATTCTTTTATACTTTCACCATGATAGATAGTAAAAGCAGGGTGGAAAGTATCTGCATTGCAAATAGGAGAGGATGTATGTGGTAGCACATGCTTCTCACTGATCAACTTGTTTTCACAAATTTCTGTGCTTTTTGGTTGACTTCTGGATTCCTAAAATTTCTAAGGTGAAGGCACTTAGTAAAATGTCAGATGGACTTTAATTTCTAGTTCTGTTCTCTGATAGAATTTCTTAGATTTTGTTGACTATTTAGATATTTTTAGAATTTTATAGATTTAACAACACTGTTTTTGGAAGAGAATCTTTGAGGTAATATAATAAACAGTTCTAGGGCTTATAGACAATGTGTATTTAAAAAAAAAAACCCAAACAACCCTACAGCCTAATGTTGATGCAGCAAATGTCAGTGTTTTAGCTTGGCAGCTCCCAGAGAATGTAACAGCATATTTTTCATAGAGTGGTTTGGGTTGGAAGGGCCCTTGAATCATCTGGTTCCAAGCCCCCTGCCATGGGCAGGGACACCTTTCACTGGACCAGGTTGCTCCAAGCTGGCCATTTTTTTGGTCATACATTTATTTTTCTGAAATGTTTGTGGATAATTTAGTGGGTTTTAATATCTGCTTCAAAGTAATAAAAGCCTTTAGAAGTACAATGATTTCTTTATGTCTAACAGACTGCAGAAATGACATTAATATCAGTCATTGCACTAACAATCTCTCTGTGCTCAAATACTATGGATTTCTTTAGCCATGCTGATTAGTACACTCTAGTTTCAATGGCTGTTTTCTGTTCAAGCCATGGATGCTTTTATTTCCAGCTCTTTAGAGTCCCATGAAAAACATTTGCCAAAATGGTGCTGTTTGCTTAAGATACATGATTCTTTCCTTATTTGTGTGCATGTGTGTATGCTCAGCCATTTTTTAAATTGAACTGGAGAAGGAGCTCTGCCTTCATAGTCTGAATATCTGGAGTAGAGTCAAGAAAAGATGAAAAGGGGCACTTCCCAGGAAATGAAATACTTGTGAATTGCAGTCTTTTGGGGTTTTTTAGTAATGCTCTCCTTAATTTCCTAGATGATTAATTTGATTTTTCTGAGCAGAGAAGAGATTTTTGTTAGTTCAAATTATTTTCTTAATTGCATTTGTTATCCAGATGGGTTGGGCAAATGGTAAGTTTGGTGCATTTTCATATTTTGTAATCATTGCTTAAGCATTGTTTTATTCCGAGGGTCTCTTTTTTCTTAACCTGTTCTTATCTTTACTGTTCCATCCAGGGCTCAGTAGTCAGTTTTGCATAACAATATAAAAAACCATAAATAAAAACTTTGATTGGATGCTAATTTACTCTCTCTTTTCTAATACCACACAATTCACAAATTGTTTTTGTCAGCTCTCCCTCTTTCTCTTTGTTATGCTTCTGACAACAAATAGGTAGGCAACATTATTTCCAAAATGGGCATCTGGTGATAATTAATCTTATCTCGAATCTGCTTCTCAGTGGAATCTAATTAGATTTGTCTTTAGGCAGTTGGTTTCTCTTCCTTCAATTTGTAATGTTACCTTTTCAAAAACTTTTTAAGTGCATGTTCTTAATCTCCCAGCATCATATATGGCAGTCTCTAGTATTTAAATAAATACTGGACAATTTATATTCTTTTTTTTGGAGATGAAATAGAATGAATAGTGAAAATGTATTTGTTATTCTGAATAAATATGTCTGCTACTGATATTTTTAAATTTTTTTTCCTTTCACCCTTTTACTTCAATGAAAGATGAAGTTCTCTCAGGGCATCCATCTACTTTTAAGTTACACATCAAAGACCACTAAGCATCCATACTGTGTAACTGTTTCATTAGTTTCAAAGTACCAATTAATGATGCCATTAATTTGCTGAGTTGTTGGTAGTCTGATAGTTTTATCACTAATTCTCGGATTAAAAATGAAAAAAAAAATTTAAAATCACAGAACTAGTGTGGTCATACTTGACTACTGGTGAAATCAAATAGATGTACTTGTATATTCATGTTGTTCTAACAGAAAAATTCATACAGGAGGAGGCTTGTTAATGTTTTGATCAGCTGTGCAGCAACAGTAATGAATACTGCTGAGTTTAGTCAGGGGTGGAGGTGAAGTTCACTGTGTGGCACAGATTTCTGCAGTAGGTGTAAGCTTTCCATCCACACAGGAAAGGCTGGTGTGACTTTCCTGTGTAAGGGATGCGGCACCTGTGAACCTCCTCAGCAGTACCTGCCTGGATGAACAGATCATTTTAAAAGGTGCTCAAAAAGATGCTCAAAAAGACAGGAACTGTCCTCATTCCACTGGGTCTTGCTTGTCAACATTTACAGAGAGCAATTTTCCTCTCTTCACATTTATTTGATCATTTAGCAAAGGTCACCTTAGCTTGTTTATACTGCACTTGTAAATGCTCTCTGAAAACCTTGGAAGCAAATATCCAGCTACTAGATTTCCAGGTTGCTGTGGCGCAACCTGCCCAACTTACTTCTCAGCCAATTAAAAAAAAAAAACAAACAAAAACCTTAGTAAATAGAAAACTGGGAGGGAAAGAGATTTCACTGAAAAAGGGATCACTTTTAATACTGAATGAAGTTGAACTCTCAAGCTTGTTTAGGGGATGAACCCTGCTGCAAACTTTGGATCCAGATTCTTGTTTTGTCTTGACAATTCTTTGAGCTCATAAACAGAATCTGTTGAGAGCACTGGTGATGGCCAGAGCCCAGTTGCTGTAGAACAGTGTTGTCTCCATGGGAATTAGCAAACAGGCAGACATCTCTGAGGCTGTACAATGCTCTGGCTGCTCTTCTCTGCTTTGTGGGAGTGGTTGTTGGCATGAGGCTATGAGGATGTGAAATTTGTGGTTGTTCTTTTGATTAATGTGCCGTGTATAGACTTTCCAATGAGTGATCAAAGTGAGAACAAAATATTTCAGAACTTGGAGCGCAGAAACTTGCCCAAAGGAAGAAATGAACACAAATAGAAAATTTAATAAATATTACAAATCTGCCAAATGAGCAATTATAAAAGTACTAATAAATATATTTTTAAGCTTACTATAATGAAGAAAGATGCTGACACGAAACAGAGGGGAATTTGCTCTGATTTAAAGTCTTTTATTTTCTAAAGCAAAAAAAGCATCAGTAGACAGGGAGAAATTTTCCTCACATTGAATGTTACAGTGAAGGGAATCCAAAATTTCAGGCACATAATCACAAAGCTTTGTAATGTAGTAAGTTTATGTACATCTGCTTAGCACCAGTCACCGACTGTGCCTAATTTTAGGTTCAAGCTTACACTTTGCCATTTGGAATAAACTTGATATGTATGTGCTGAGTAGCTTAACAGACATCTGGTAACTTTTTAGGGAGAAAGAGTATGATTATGGGCACAAGAAAAACTAGATTTAATTATTGCAGCACCAATTCTAGTGATGGAACATCCAAGTGAGGGAGTTGCTTTCCTCAGAACAAAAGTTCCTGCAATTTTATACTGTGTGATTTCAAAAGTTGGACTTTGCAGTAGCAAGGCTATTAAAAAAGAGTCGTGAAAGTCAGATTTTTAAAAATGTGGATAAACATTCCAGAAAAGCTGGATGAGATGATTTCTAGGATGGTAATTTTCCATAGAAAATGCAAATATTTAGTATTTAAATGGTTACCAGTTAAAACAGGAAAGAACCAGGATCATCTTGCTTTTATTACTGACATGTATTGTGTGTACATTTTAGCAACCTGATTGCTCATGTTAATACAGTAAATTAATGCTGAATGTTTAAGATATTTGACTTGAGACTGGAAAAGTCAACTTTAATGAATTTTAGTATGTGGCTTTACAGGAGCATGGCAAATGACTTAACTAGTTTTGAAAATGTGGTCCTGTTACATTTCCTTAAAATTCAAATCTCACTATGATCAGCAATGTACTGAAATTGAAGAAATAAATTTATGTATATTTTCTGTGGTTTTTTTTAGGGTGCAAAATTTGGACATTCAATGGGATTAAGTCAGGCTCCTCCTCCACGTTCTTCTGCTCGAAGATCCTTTGGAAGATCGAAGCGATTCAGCATTACTCGCTCTCTGGATGACCTCGAGGTAATTAACTTTCACTTAAAATTCAGAAGTGAGTCTTAGAGAACTTACATGCTAATAATTGCTGAAAGGAAGTTAGTAATGTATTAGTATAATAAAGGTACTTACTATCATATGAAATTTTTGTGAGGGGGATACAGATTTCAGATATCAACCTGTCTTTTTCAGTATTTCTTTACCAGGTTACATTGGTGCCAGCAGTGGGCATTCTTTCTGTGGGGAATTCTAACTTTATTTTTCCTGTCACAGTTGGTCCTGTGTAAATCCAAACAATACACTTTTGCTGATCAAAATGTTCATAATATCTCAGAAATTAATGTATCATGATATATAGAAAAACCAAATGCTCATCATATTCTGGTTTTGTTCAGCTGATGAATTTTGACAGCAGTTGACAAAAGCGAATTCCTAATCAGCTTAGTGATTTTGGGTTCTTTTAAGTGTAATACTATGCTATTTTACATCTGGTTTAGCATCAGCTGATGTCTGGCTCTCAAAACCATATTGACTTTGGAGAAAACAAGGAATGAAAAGCCATCCTGCTGCTCTACTGTAGGATTATGGCTCCATTATATCTTCACTCCTAGTGTGCCTCCTCAGGAAAACCTGAGCTGCAGTGATGTGAAGGTGAATGGAGAGGTGCTTCCCTTAGCCCTTTAGCATCCTTATTTGGGACAAGTCTGGTGGCTGGGGAGGAACAAAAATCTCTTTTGGCTCTTGGCACGAGAGCCATGCAATGCATCCTGCACCACTCTTCAGCATGGGAGGGAATGTGCCACACTGAGCTCTCCAAATGGGAAGGAGGTGTTTAAAAAGCGTTTGAGATGGGAGGAGGGAAGAAGGAGACTCTGAGTTTTCTGCTGTAGGAAAATGTAGGAAGAACAGCATTCACTGACTTGAACTAAAGGAGAAGGGAGCTCAGTGCAGTGGATGTTTAGGGAGCAGAACATATGGAGGAGCTTCTGGCATGCTTAGGGAATGCAGGTAGGAACTGCAATTACTTATTTCTCAGATGTTTTTCTATTTTTCTGTTTTTCATAGCAGTCTGTGTTCTCTGAAGCTTTTAAGTGTCTTGCTTTTTTCTAGTTATAGAAAAGACTTAATTTCTTTGCACTCATAACTTTAATACAGTAACTGCATAACTTAAACACAACAAGAACTTCTGGATAAAGGGGTTTGGGAACCATCTAGCTACATCTTTCTTAATCAGAAAATGGTGGTTCTTGTAAATTGAAAAAGTTTGCAGTAATATATATCCAGTTTTGACAGAATTTTTGGTTGCAGTAAGAGTGATTTCTCTCAGAATACCAAAGAAGCTAGTGCTAGTAATTCACATGCAACAGGAAAAACATGGTTCTTTCCACAGTCTTACAGATTAAAATTTCATGCAGGTTTTTTGCACATCTCATGTTTTGAGTGTTTTAAACATCAAATATAACATTTAATTTCTGTTGTTGGAGTTGTTTCACATTGTGTAAATATTCATTAAAACAGTCACTTGGGACTTACCATTAATTTCAGAAAGATATGATAGTTACTGGCCTAAAAAGTCCCTTTTCCCCCTCATTATGTCCTAGTTGGTATTCATCAGTGTCTGTAAACAGAGTAGCACCAACAGGAGGGATTGAGTCAATCTGTGTCCCAATATTCTCATCATTACTGAGTTACCTTGGAAGGGGAAACTTTCATTCTGGGTCACAGTATGAACTGGACAAAGGAATGGTCTGAATTCAGATCTGTATTTGGATTACTGCATGTAGCTATGTGGGTGTGGACTCTTCTCTGTCCAACTGCTTCTTTTCACTTTGAAATCTTCGTTTTTGCTCTGCATGCTGTAATAGAATGATACCCTAGATATCCCAGCCACCAGGAGAAACAGCAATCCAGAGGAGAATTTAAAAATCTTTGTATGTCAAAATAAAATAATGTCGAGGTGTTTTAATTTTGGTTCAAACTTCAACACTGCTCCTTCAGCACTTGTCCCAAGTACTCTTACACTGTGTGTGGTAGAACATAATGTTGTTAGTACATGTTTGGTTTATTTCAGGCCGTCTATTTAGGGTTGGTGGAAGAGGAAATAACAATAGCAGGAAATTCTTAGAGACTCCACCTTTGGAATAATGACCATGAGTGTATTGTATAGGCTGCTTGCTTGCTTTTGTGTTCGTTTCAGTTATCTTAGCAGAATGGATAAGGTAATAATCCAAACGTGAAATTTGGAAGTTAATATGCTTCTATGAGCTTGTGGGTTTGATTCCTGCTGGCATTCAAATTAATCTTCTAAACTGAGCAGTGTAAGTAGGCTCCACGGAGTTTCTTCTATGGGCATTTGATGAACACTGTTCATTGCTTACAGGTCTAAAAGGGCTGTATTTGGATTTTTTATTGAAGTGTGAGCAGTGAGTGAAACACCAGCTGTCAGTGTTGCTGACTGCTGCCATAAGGTGGCGTGATTTCTTTGAAATTTGTTAATTATTTATTTTTTAAAATATCTGTCCAAGAATACAGCATATTCATAGATATTTTAATAAATAAAAACATGATTTCATGAGAAAATGTCACTTTTTCTCTTAACTTGTTAGATTACTTCTGGCTATATGTGCACAGACAGAATTCCTGTAAGATTAAAATTAATGGTATAGTTGCCCTTCCTCCCTTCCTGCAGAAGCTGTATTATACATAAAAGAAAACAGACAAGTTTGTAGGATTAACCTCTAGCTGCTGTTTTTACTGATAGAAACTGAATACAAGAATTTTTTAAAAATGCAGGGATAAAGATGGGATGAGAGTGCAAAATTAATGGTGCAGTTGTGCTGTGATTGTGGTAGGAAGAATGTCGCACAAAACAGAAAATGCACAATTTTATTTCTGAACTGTGGAAATTGTGCTTGTTCACAGCAGGTCTGATTATGATTAATTAATCTTTAAATTGGAACTGAATTCAGAAAATGAGCATGTCTAGTATGTGCACTAGTTATGTAATTTTCACAAGAAATGTATTTAGCAAATTTTCTTTATTAAATTACAAGAAACCTGGTTTTGTTAAGAACAGATTTATCTTTTATCTAAGCCGTAAATTTTCCTATGTACATAATCTGTTGTTATGAAATAGTGTCCATTAAAACCCATGTTAATATTCTGTGATTTGCACCAATTTTACTTTTTAGCATATTTGCTGATTCATATTTTCAAGGTGTAATTTAAACTAAAAGGACCTTATGATTATTTAATATTTGGCTTAATGAGAGGGCATGATCCTGCCTTTCTTCCCACTTTTCTTCCCTGTAGGTAAATGCCAATACTGTCATCCTCTTGCACAATTCTGTTCTGGAAAAGATGTTATAAACAAGTTAAAGGTGTCTGTGAGATTGCAGGCAGTAGAACACTGCATATGTAAAAATTTACCTTAAGCACAGTCATTGTAATTCTTCTGTTCATCACCAGTTTTGGTAACACTTTCAACTGTAGCCCATTCGACTAATATTTTAATTTTTCTTGAAGTCTGTAAAAATGGGGGAACCTTGCAATATTTTCTTGAACTAAAAAAATTTAGGTTCCTCTTCACCAAGATGAATATTCAAAGCTGTTTTTTCCTGAAAATAATTTTGGTACTTGTACTTTTTGTATTTCTCTGTGGCTAAAAATAGGGCAGAGTGATATAATGAGAGACATAATCTCTTAGGGAAACAAGTGACAAATTCTGTAAGTATTGTTAAATAATAACTTAATACAGAGATATTTTTAAAATTAAAGATTATTTAATTCTTTGAACTAAGTATCAGGACAAGAAAAGATGGCTGTTGCAGCTTTTCTTCCTCTCATCCTGTTTTGGAAGGCTTAAAGCTATATTGTATATTATAAACAACATTTGTATCAAATTTCTAGAGTTTAGTAATGTTTTCAAAGTTGGAATGTATCATGTATTTTTAAAAAAAAATCAGTATGAGGGCTTTTGTTAGAAGGTTTCATCTTAATTATAACCATTAATAATGTAGTATTATTAGGTGTTATTATGGATAATAATGCTTGATTTTTTTTTCTGTTTTGTTAATTCTACTGAATCAACTTCTTTTTGCATTTCATCTACTATTTGAAAGCATACAGCACATCTCTTTGGTATGAGGTTTTTATACTAATGGATGACATGTCTCTGCTGGATATTAGCTTTGGCATCTGTGGGTGGCAAAACTCCCCCTAAATGCTCATTTGACTTATTAAGGAGTTTTTAAGTGGGTACCTGTTTTTGTTTGACTGATTTAAATAATCAGACAAAGCTTATACATAGCTTATAATATAATATTACAATAGCTTATATTAGACCAACTAGTATACTAGGAAAATCAGACAAGAAGATCTAAACATGCCCCAAACTTGTCCCACCCTCTCATATGATCTAATAAAAAGTATGAAGTCTCCCTGCAGAGGTTGCTTTATTGATGTTCTTAGATCATCACCATGGCCACAATACCACCACCATGGCGAGTGTGAGTACATGTTTTAAATCAAGAGGCCTCTTCATTCTCAGCTTGTAACAGTGAATTCAAAATTTGAAAAGAATGTATAGGTTTGTCTCAGATTTGACCATTAGTTAAAAATATGTTCTACTGTGTACCCCCTATAAGAACTGCATCTTTGGCAATATTTTGTCCAAATTTGTATCTAAGATACCACCAACCAATTGGTAGTTTTGATGTCAGCTTTCACGAAAGGGGGAGGAAAGGCCAGTTGTGAAATAATAGTGCACACATGAGAAAAATCTCCATTTTTCTATGTAAAAGGAAATACTGCATTTCTAGCATGCTGCTAATGGGTTCCTAAAGGTTTCATCCAGTCTCATATATGGATATTCTGAAGTTTGAGAGCTAACATTGAGCAGCCCCTGGTGCTGCTGTGTTGGAAGCTTCATGGATCTATGCCTGCATTACTATCAGGGTTTTGCTGGTATTTTATACTATACCGTAACTTAAAAAAGATTTTCACTAACTGCTCTTAAGTTTACATTT